TAATAGACAAAGAAAATAATCAGGAACAATAAATACTAAATCACCACTTTAAAAAAACAACAACAAAACATGGCATACAAGGGACTAATGAGCTTTCAGCTTACCCCAAAGGTGGCTCTAGAACATTAGCATTTGAGAACATGCAATGTAGAGATGCACGTATGTGGTAGGAAATAAAGTCCTAAGCCCAAGCCATCTTCTGTCAGTATTCAGTTCATGAACCCTTCCCAGCCAATTTTTGTAAGTAATTGGTCCGCAAAGAATTGGTCCCAGTCAAAGTTGAGTAATAATCACAAAGCAGCCACAAAGAAAACAACACATGGTAAGCAAAAATCAGATAAAAACATTCCCCAGAGGAAGACATGCCACAGAATGTTTCCTCTAGATATCAACTAAATTAAAGATGTGATCTCCAGAAATAAGAATATAAGAGGAAATAAAAGTCTTCATATACAAGGTGAAAGGAGATCAAGAGTGAGCAAAGCTTTGGAAAGAATAAAGAGAAAAATAAAACCACTGCTGATACAGAAGCCAAAAGAGAAGCAGAAAAAGGAACCAATAGTAAGGGAAATGAAGACAGGAGAGAGACAAATGGGAAAAAATGTAAAAGGACACAATTAAGAAGACTGTGAGACAAAAGGGAACACACAGAAGACAATGGAAATCTATCCTTGCCATATTAGATGAAAATAACAGATTAAAGAGAAAAGAGAAAGCGCTAAAAGTATAATAGAAAACACTTTGAAAGATGATGAAGACATGAATTTCCTGACGTCACCTTCTTCAGGTCTTTGCTTAAATGTTACCCATCAGTAAGGTTTGCACTGGTGGCCATATTTAAAATAACTACCTGGGGTTGATCTCCCTCCCTACTTTATTTTTCCCATTGTAATACCTGAAATGAAAATTACACTAACTGGGGTTCACAGCATCTTAGACCCCACAGAAAAAGTATCCACGATCTTAGAAATTTATCTAAAATGAAACACAGAACAGGAGAAACCTTGTGAGAGAATAGTAAGCCATTTGACATATGTATAATTAGAACCCTAAAAGGGGGAAAAAGATAAAAATATTTGAAGAAATAATGGCTGAAAAATATCTAAATTTGATGAATACTCTAAACTTGCAAATATAAACTCAATGAACCACAAATGAAATACAGAGAAAATCCTGCCAAGACACATCATGATCAAATTATTGAAAATAGTGATAAGTAAAAATCTTAAAAGCAGACGAGGATAGGGGAAAACACAATATAGAGAGAAGAGAAATAAGGAAGAGAGCAGACTTCTTGTCAGAGCCAGAAGACAATGAAGTACTGAAAGAAAACCTCATCAATCTAGATAAAGGATAAAAAGCTATTCCAAAAATGAAAGTTAAATATAGACTTTTAAAAAGGGGGACTAAAAACTGAAAGGTCTATGTTACAAATAGTGTTAAGAGAAGTTCTTCAGGCAGGAGGTTCTGATATGTGGATCAACACAAAGAAATAAAGAGCACTGGAAATGGTAAATATGTGGTTAAATATAAGATACTTTTTTTCACTTTTAAAATCTCTTTAAATGGTAATTGACTGTTTAAAGAAAAGTAATAAGCTGTGAGATAATAGAAAAAAATATATGTTGGCCTCTGCCCTGGTTCCTGGCACAGAGCTCCTAAAACCATTGTAATTTCCTAAATGATAAGAGTACGAGGAGCATCTTTTGTTCTAGAATTTGGTCTTTGACCCCAGTTCCTGACATACAGTTTTTAAATCCCTTGGAATTTCCAGGGTGATATCAGTGTCTTTTGTTCTAAATGAGGTGACTCTTTGTGGGCCTCTGGGTAGGGGCTGGTCACAAAAAAAGACCAAGTCAAGAATAGAAGCTTCAAATTTTCAGCCTCCACTCTTCTCCCCCATTCTTCAGAGATGGAGTTGGAAATTGAATTAATAATCCATCGATCATGCCTATGTGATGAAGCCTCCATGAAAATCTCAAAGTCATGAGGTTTGGAAAGCTCCCAGGTTGGTGAATATGTGCAGGTGCTGGGAGAGTGGCACACCTGGGGAGGGCATGGAGGCTCCGCACCCCTTCCCACACACCTGGCCCTATCCATCTTCTCCATCTGAATGTTCATTTGTGTCTTAAGGTGGTAAATAAGCAAACTGTTGTCCTGAGTTCTGCGATCTGCTCTGCACCTGTGAGTTATAGCCAATCTGTTAGAAGCCAGGTGACAACCTCAACTTGTGATCGGTATCTGAAGTCGGGAGGGGCGGTTTTTTAGGACTGAGCCCCTAACCTTTGTGATCTGATGCCATCTCCAGGTAGATAGTGTCAGAGTTGAGTTAAATTGTAGGACACCCAGCTGGTGTCATAGTATTACTTTCTGGGGAAAATCTCCACACATCTGGTGTCAGAAGTATGAGTGTGGTAGTAGTGTGAGAGTAAAGAGAAACACAGGTGGAGAACTGGGCTTTTCCCTACTCACATCTATTGTGAGGTTTATAACATATATAGAACTAAAGTAATCACAACAATGTTTGTTTGAGGGGAGAAGATGGAGTACACTGTTGTAAGGCTCTTAAAATATATGGCAAGTATTATACATTTATTTGACGGTGGACTGTGATAAGATAAAGATACAAAAGAAAGAGATGTATCTAACAAGTCAATAATGGGGAAAATAAAATACAAAAAAACATTTTTTTAAAGCAGGAGAAATCAGGGAAAAAAAGCAAAGAATAGGTGGGACAAATAGAAAATAAATAGCAACAGAGTGTATGTAAACCTAACCACATTAATAATTGCAGTACATGTAAATAATATATAATGTTTCTATAAGAAATCTGCCTTACATATGAAGATACAAGCAGGTTAAAATGAAAAAGATAAAAACACTGATCTAAAGAATGTTTAAGTGACTGCAATAATATTAGACAAAAGAGACTTTACAACAAGGAAGGTAACAGGAGTACATAATACTTTTTAACTTGTTTGCTTTGGTTAATTCCTAGAGTTTGAAATGATTGGTTTTTTGTTTTTTTTTACAATTTTGTCTAGTTTTATTGCTTTTGGGGGGATAACATGTGCTGAGCTCCTCACTCAACCCTTCTGTAAGTCTCATCCCCTACCTGGAGTATTAGCAGAAGGATTGTTGAATTTAGTAAATGCCATTTACCCCTTGTTGTTCTAATGAATTACTTTGATTGACATCCTAATGTACAACCAACTTTGCACTCCTTGAATAATTCCTAATTATTCATGTTCTTTTATTCTTTAGTTAGAAAATGCTAGATTCCATTTTCTGTAGGAGTATATGATAAAATATTGACCAAAAGTAAAAAATATTAACTACTTGGAAATTAAGAACCAAAGGACTTGTATGGATGCATATAAGCATAACCAATGGACACAGACATTGAGGGAGGGGGTGTGTGAGGGCATGAGCGGGGGGGGGGGGGGGGCGGGCGGTAAGGGAGGCCGGGGGGGAGGTCATTGAAGGAAAAAGGAGACATATGTACTATTATTTGTAATACTTCAAACAATAAAAAAAGAAATATATTTTTAAATCGCCACTAGGTCAAGAAAATCTTAATGATAATATTACAAGTTCTATGGAAAGTATGAAAAAGAATATTTCATACATGAACTTAAATATAATAATAATAATAGGTGGTCCTAATGCCTTTATTATTTTAGTAAGAAAAATGAAACATGGAGAAATTTGCTTTCTATCTAGTAAATTAGAAAAAGAATAAGAAAACCTTATTTTGCAATTTAGGAAGAGAGAATTTACAAAAATAAAAAACTGAACCTAACCTAATGAGAAATAAAATTTAGTAGAACAATAAATAAATCTAAGTGCTAGTATTTCAAAGGAACCAGAGAAATGTATAACCTATTGCCAACTTGCTTAAGGAAATAAGGAAGTAAAAATATTTTTAAAAAAATAGGGATGAGAAAAGAGACAAACTACAATGTAGGAGAGTTTTAAAAATATTATAATAGGGAATTACATGCAACTCTATGGATACAACTTTGCAAATCTGGAAGAAATTAATCATTTTCAGTAAAATATAAATGACCAAAATTAATCCAAGAAGGAGACATGAAAAACTTTGAGCAGACCAATTACCACAGAAGACAATGGAAAGGTCAAAAAGATATTTTACTAAAAATGTTACCAATTCGTTTCAGGGCTGAAATCTATCTAACCTTTAAAGAATAGCTAGTTATATGTCATTTAAGTGATTCTAGCCATAGTAAAAAATACTGGAGCTCCTGGTTCCTTTTACAAAGCCAGCACAACTTTACTACCAAAATTTTTTAAAGGAGGTACCTAATCTCACTTATATACACATTTAGGAGTTGAGTCAGTATATATAAAGTCAAATATCTGGCTTCAATACTCAGTATTTATGTCACCTCGGCCAAGTTACATAATTTATTGGTGTTAACTTATTTATAAAATAGCAGTAATATTATCTCTTTCCTAGGGCTGTTATGAATATTAAACCAGATAATGCCTCTACAGAACTTGGCACAGAGGCTGGCATATAATAAGTCCTTAGTAAAGGCACAGTGGTTAGAGAATAGTGAAGGGAAAGACTTAAGGCAAAACAAGCTGGCACTGGGGAAGCCATGATGGATTTTTAGTAGTTATCAGTAAGTAGCTATTAGGGGCTTTCATTTAAATAGTAGCATTCCATATTGTTTTTTCAGACTGTAAATAAACAGTTCAGGTTGTTGTAAACACCAAAACAAGTGAACAAACAAAACAAATGTTTAAAAATTTTAATTCTAGCCTTGGCTGGTGTGGTGCAGTTGGTTGGATCATCATCTTATGCACTGAAGGGTCCCGGCTTTGATCCTTGGTGAAGGCACACAGCCAGGTTGTGGGTCCCAAAAGGTAACCGATCAATGTTTCCTCTCTCTCTCTCTCTCTCTCTCTCTCTCTCTCTCTCTCTCTCTCTCTCTCTCTCTCTCATCAATTAAAAAACATATCCTTGGGTGGGACTTAAAAAAAAAAAGAATCTTCTTAAAACAAAACAAAATTTTGATTCTATGAGAAAATGCTTAGAAATTATAACAAAGGGAAGCATTTTCATCTGAGAGGCATTAGTCCCGACTGTTCTTGAACCTGCACGGTTGCCCAGGGCTTCTCTGCCAGTGTGTGCTCTATTTTGTACATCGACTGTTCTTGAGCAGTAAGCAATTGGACCTTGGGGACAGCTGGCATTCTGTGGCTAAGCAGAGTTCCAGGTCCATAAAAGGAAGCATCGGTGCTTTCTATTTCCCATCCTGCATTAACACAGATGCTGAGATCAGACATTGCCAACACTTCAAAAAACATCTTCATTCTGATGCATCCATGGCTTATCTGTATCCAGTAGATGGATGACTCAGTGTTTCAGAAAAACTTACCTTTCCCGGGAGAGCCATATAAATATCTAGTTATGACACAAAAACTCATGGCAGTTTAACTTGTGGAGCAGGTGGGCTATGGACCCCCGAAGCCTCACTTTGAATTCAGGGAAGAACCATCAGCAGCCCAGATGCAGAAGTGGAGCAGGGGACCCTGGTGGTTCTGATTTCACATTCATCTTCATCTACAGACTTGATGTAACAAGTGATGATGGGTCGCCATAATTCTCTCAGTTGCTGGCCCTTTATTAAGCCCATGAGTAGGACAATTACAGTATCACATCTGGAATATCAGTAAGATTTCCATGAAACATTGAAAAATCGCAGAGGCAACAGAAATGGGAATGCCCTTTGAGCAGTTTCCCAGTTAATGACTGCTGCATACAGAGTGCCCCAAAACTTAGTGTTTTAAAAACAACCACTTTATTATTATTATTATATCTCATGATTTTGTGGGTCAGGAATTCAGGCAGAGCTCAGCTGGGCAATTCTACTGTACAATGTGATGCTGTGTGGGGTCTTCCACTATTGTTCTTCCTGGGTTGTTGGATCTAAGATGTTTTTACTCACATATATCCTCCTCCTACTCTATGAAGCCTCAGGGCCTCTCCACAGTCTCTCAAGCAGGGTAGTTTGATTTCTTGTGGGGCATTCCAGGGCTTCAATCGACCAACGTAGAAGCTGCCAGTTTCTTAAAGGCTGTCCCAGAAGAGGGAGAGTGTCATTTCTCGTTACTTTGTGGCTCAAAGTGCGCACAGGCCAGCCCAGATTCACAGGAAGGAGAGCTGGACTCCACCTCTTGGTGGGTGGAAGGAGCGTCAAAGAATTTCAACCCACACAATTAGGGACAATTATTTGGATTGCAGTGACCACACAGCACTGAAAGGCAGCATTTTCTAGAGCTGAGAACACAGACTCTAGAATAGGACTGCCCAGCAGAAAGTGGCAAAGGGACTTGGAGAAGAAGTTCTGAACCTCCCAAGCCTTCGTTCTCTCTTTGATAAAGGGATAAACATGTTCTCTACTATACTTCTTGTTGAGAAAATGGAATAAGATTTCCCAACAAGATTTTCACCAAGCACCCTCAGTGCTCTGAGCACACTGCAGGCAAAGCTCCTTGTGGCACATTTCAGGCGTGGCTTTGCTTTGAAGGCTCAGGTTTTATCTGAGAAAATCAAGTGAATTATGCATTATATTTAATAATAGATGCGTGTTTGTTTTAATACAAAATAGCATTTTAAATGTCTTACCAGCAGGAACAATAAAGTGATGCCCCTTATTCTTTGATCGTGTATACCCGTGTCACATCTCTGATGATCTCTGTTTGAGAAACAACATTATACGAAAGAAAGCACATTATAAACTATAGTGGGCAATGATAACTCATATTATTAGATTCAAATATCAAATACTGAAAGTATCACATTGGTCTTACCTCCATGTGGTGAATCTAAGAATTTTTAAAGAGTGAGGCAAAACAGAACTCTACAAAAATACAGGATTCCTGTATTTTCCCTTTTTTTAATACAGTCTGACCTGTTTTTCCAACTGTGGTGCAGTAGTTTTTTTCAGTTTGACTGATTGTCAGGGAGGTTTATTCTCAAGGAGAAATATGTAAAGAGGAATGAAAGCCAGTGTTATGTGATGTGGAGATACTGGGGTCTCTAGAGCTCCCATAATCCTCATCAAGTTCTTAACCATCATTCTTTGAGGTGGCCAATTGATGTTTTCTCACTCTTCTTTAAAAATTTCTGTAGCTTCAAAAAGCACCAGTTTCCCTATCCCAATCACCACTCTCTCTTTAGAAATCCCTGCACCATCATTTTTAAATCAATACTAGAGGCCCAATGCATGAAATTCATGCAAGAGTAGGCCTTCCTTCCCCCGGCTGTTGGCACCGGCTTCCCTCCGGCACCTGGGACCCAGGCTTCCCTCTGGCTGCCAGCACCCAGGACCTGGGCTTCTCGGGGCCACCCGCTGCAGCCCGCTGGTCAGTGGCCTGGGCCTCCCTCTGTGGGGTGATCATGGGGCAATGGCCGGGCCCCTGACCAATCACATCGCACCCGCCTTGGCTGGCCTGGTGCCAGTGGGTGTCATAGTGTGGTCCCGGATGGTCATTCTGCTGTTCGGCCATTAGGTCAATTTGCATATTATGCTGTTATTAGATAGGATGACCAATACTCACAAGGGCACCAAGAAAAGAGAATCTGAGTTCCCTAGGACATCCTGGACAATGGCCCCAACTAGGTGATTAGGAAAGTTGGAAGCCCTTCTAGAGATTTGGGAAGACCTGTGTTGTGTTGCTCTCACTCAATTCTTGAGTAGCCTTCGATCTACTCAGCTTATCAGCCAGGAGCAGACTTCATCGGGGGCCCCAGAAATCATTTCATAACTAACACCACTGGAGGAATCTCCCATCTTCTTACAACTTATTTTTATCTCACTTATTTCTACTGGAGAGTGTCAGAGGACTTGCAACACAGTCCCTTCTCAAAAAATCCTTCAGGAAAATAACGCTTCCCCTGCCTGACAACTATACAAATGCATGGTAATATTGTCTTTAGAAAAATATTGTTTTAACATATAAATGGTGGAGATAAGTCACAACCATTGTATCTTTGAGAAAATTGCTGTCTAAGTTTGGTAAATAGATGAGCCAGATAATATTCTCAAATTTGTAGTCAGGATTTAAATGGCTGAAAAATGGAAGTCTAATGAAGATCTGTTATTGTAGGAAAGGAGGAGCCTGGGTAGTGCACAGAATTGCTAACGAGACAGTGTCAAAACAGGCATTCATGGGGCTGATTGAGAATCTGCAGAATAAAGCCAGCAGACACAGGCCTTTGTGGGTTCATGTGATTAAACAGCTATAGGGAAATGGGATCTGGTATAAGAGGCAAAGACTGCTTAAGACGGGAAAATAAGTAGCTTAAAGAAGGAATTTAAAAATATTCTTGCCAAATAATCCTTTGGTTATTTTTCAAAACAAGAAAAACATTGCATGTTTTTATTCATGCCATGTGAGAAATTAAATTCCAATTTTTTTGCCTTCTGCTCTCTAAGAAATTATCAGTTTGCCTTTGCTTCTTTTGGTGAAAGGTACAAATCCCGAAAATGCTATGAAATCCATGCTGATCCAAACTCTGTTCTCAAACAAAAGAAACTCATCCACTCTTTGTCCTCCACTAACCTGACCAGTACTCTATTTTTACCTCTCAGCCCTGAAAGGACTTTGGCTCTTAATTTGAATTTTCCTCACCTTGTACATGTCCTGAGGAAACTTGGAGATGTCTGCATTTGGTTCACTAGTCACAGTACAATTCTTGCCAACCGGTGACCCCTCTTAGCTTCACCTCAAATTCCCATTATGCACACATCAAATTGTTTCAAGGGGTATGACACTTTGGACGTGATTGGAAGGCCAAGTGAAAAATATTTAGCGATGTCACATGACAAGGCCACTTGGACAAAAGGACTTTGTCCATGTGACTTCACACAGTGGGAAATCATGAACTTTTTCTCACCCTGCAGGTGGCCTTGTGCCAGAGTACACTTAGAAGCTTCCTTCTGGCATGAGTCTGGAAATCTTTTCAGTTCTGATATCTAGAGCTTTAATACTAAAATACAAATGAACACTGGGAAGAACTTAATTATTTTTCATAGATTAAAACTATATAAACCCCTAAGGCTTGTTCAAGAACACTACTTTCTTAGAGGCTAAAAATTTCATTTGTTACTAACATTACATGTGTTTATGCAGTATTTGTCTCCTATGGGAATGATATAAAAAATAAAGGCATAATAGAGCAATAAGAATGGGGGGGGAGGAACAAGAGAGTAGAATTAAATTCATTGTTCATTTAAGTGAGTGTTGTTCTTCCAGAGAACACTCACTTATGCAAATGTTCTTCTTTCAGAAAACAACTGTTTCCTTTAAAAATGTATTTCTGAAGCTCCCACTGAATGCTCTGAACTGAACTGTATGTTACAGAGAATATAGGGAACTGATACAACACAGAGCCTACTTTCAAATAAATTAGTCCTATAGAAAGAGGCAGTGTAATAAAATAAAGAACTGGAAACCTACAGTAAAATCCAGCACATGTCTGACATTTTATATACTTTATCTCTTATCATCACAACAATCTTACAAAGAAGATATGATCCTTCCCGATTTGTAAGGAAGGACAAAGTGGTCCAGGAAGGTGACGGAACTGGCCTGGGGTCAGTGAACTAGCAAGTTGCTCAAAGCATAATTCACATCCAGGTGTTTCCATTTTTACAGAACCAAGTTATTTCACTATGCCTACCCCCTCCTGTAGCTAGTGTACCACTTTGTTCCTTAGAACAAGTCCCTCAGTCATTCTATATATTGGTTTCCTACTCTATACAATGAAGAGGTTTCTTCCCTGGAATGGATGTTCATTCTACTGTCTTTAACCCATGAAGCAAAGACCAGAACGATGGGATGTCTAGGTGGAGTCACCAGCCTCCACACTCAGGAACAGGGCCAGCAGAGCGCTGGGCGTTCAATGGGAGATGCACTGTCCAGAGCAGCTGGTATTGAGGGTAAGTAGGAATTGGATGGGCAGAGGAAGCGGCGGGTCTTCCAGACTGAAGAGGGGCCAGAGCAGGAGCACAGAGCCAGGACAGGCAGGCCTGCTGCCATCGTTTCTATTTACTAAGTGCTAAGTGCTAAGTGATGGACAGAGCTGGAAAGCAAACCAGCACGTGCCTGGTGTCAAAGTCCGTGCACTGTCACAGCAGCACTCTGCCTCCTGTACATATCTGAATCAGTCTTTTTATTTGTCAAGAAACAGATCCGCCCCCCCCCTATTTTATGTATTCTGTTCCAGAGCATGGAAAGCTACCCAACTCATATTTCACTCTCCAAAACTATGTAGCACAGGCTGCGGAGACAGGCTCCGCTCTCTGGGCCTCGGTGCCTTCTCTGCAAAATACAGACAATGCTACATCTCACTTGTCATTGTTGTAAGAATTACATGAGAAAATGCAGTGTTTGGAACATGGTATAAGCTTTTAAAATGATTGCAACTGCCATTATTATTTTCAATAATAAAACATAACAGAGATAGGGTAAAAAGATAAGAATTAATATATTTTTAAAATTTTAAATAAGTTAACAGCCAAGTGAATTAAAAGTATACAAAGAATAATCTAGTACAACCAAGTAGTATCTATCAGTTTGATTTAATATTAGAAAATGTATTGTCATCCATCACATCATATTGACAGATCAATAGATAGAGAGCAGGCTGACAGTTGTCAGAAGATGGGGGTTGGGGGATGAGGGTTTTGAGTAAAAAAGATAAAGAACTCATGGACATAGACAACAGTGTGGTGATTGTGGGGGGAAGCAGAGGGGAGGGGAGGAGGGCTTAAGGGGATAATTGGTGATAGAAAAAACTGAATGGCTGTAAAAATTTTATTGTCATATTATACTGTTAGATCAAATAAGAAAAACTATATGATCATTCAATTTTGAAAGGCACTGATAAAGTATTACAATCATTTCTAGTGGGGATTAATATTTTTGTTATCTATGAATAGAAGAATAAATTCATAAAACGCATTAAAGCATATTTTTCACTGGCAGCTTATATAATTATTTATTGCAAAAATACCATTAGAGACATTCCCATTAGCATTGGGAACAAAACAAGGATGTCTGCTATTCTCCCTATTGTTTAATATTATTTCAGAAATTTTGGTTACAGCAGAAAACAGAAATAGGAAGTGTGATTACTGGAAAAGAGGAAACAAAGTTATCATTATTTGCAGATGATAGGATCACATACCTAGAAAAACCCTGGAGAATCAGCTAAAAAACAATTAGAAGTGAGTTCAGCAAGATAAATGAATAATAAGTATCCATGGATTTCAAACATCCCAGCCACAACCAGAAAATATAATGAGGACAAAAATCTCTTTCACAGGAGTAACGGAAATCTCGAACACCAAGAAATACAAGCTTAATAAGAAATGTGTCAGACCTCGTGAAAAATGCCTCAGAATTATACCAAGAAACATAAAATAAGGCTTAAATAAATGGAAAGACATACAGTGTGTCTGTGTGGAATATTACAAATATATCAATTTTACCCAATTTATTTTTAGGTTTAATGCAATCCAATATTCTCTCAATGGGATTTTTCTTTGGAAGTTTTGCTGGAAGAATAAATACATGAGAATAATAAAAATGTTTTGAAAGGAAAGTTAATGAGGAGGAGTGAACTTGTTCTATCAGATAGAAGATATACTGTAAAGCTACAGCAAAGGGTGGTGCTAGCACAAATATC